GCAAGTCACTACGGTAGATCGTTGAGCTCTTCCTCGGTAGTCACTGAACAACGCCATTTGCTGCTAACTCAGCATCAGTGAGCCGCATGCGCAGGGGAGGGCGTTTCCAATGCGGTGCGCGCGCATTTTGGCTGGTCCACGGACGAGACTAAGCCAGGGCTGGATGCCTGCAGAGAAAACTACTCTCATCCTCCAGTGCCTTCTGTAAGTCAGTGTACACATTTGTAAGTGGCTAGCTTGCGTTTTGCTGTTGATTTGCACGAAGAGCAACTTGGCAATCTGCGCCGCGTTACGCAGGCGCCTTCATTCTTTGTCCCCCGGGTTATAGCTATCATTGTAGTCTGATTTCTGAAGCCTGCCCAATGAAACCACCACCGTATGTGCCACAACCTGATCGCGTCCCTGTTGGAGGCACTACGCATTACACCCTGAGTCTGCGCGGTGTTACGCGAGCCTTGCGGGGCGCTCAGTCAGATGGGCCTTCATTGTTTGTCCCCCCCAGGTTGTAGCCTGATTACCAAAGCCTGCCCATGAAACCGCAACCATGTGCAATACATCCTTGTTGAAGACAATACATGAGGTATCTAGCCCCTGCTTCAGGCACTAGCAGCCCCATTAGCTACTACTTTCAACAGTTACAATTTGTCTCTGGTAGCCTATCTACAACATACCCATGAACATCAGAGTGGCTGAAAATGCAGTGTTGTCATAAGCCATTAAAACTAGTGGAAACAAGTGGAAAAATCATTTCTTCAAAATGAAAGGAGGATATAGGGATAGCTTGAAGCACTAAAAAGGAAGAAACAAGGGGTCATTATTACACACCAAATATGCACAAAGCCACATGACACCATCCCTATATCTTTGTTCTATTATTCATAAGCAAAGTTTAATATGAGACAAAGATAATATATAGGAATGGTGTCATGTGGCTTTGTGCATATTTGGCGTGTAATGACCCCTTGTTTCTTCCTTTTTGGTGCTTTAAGCCATCCCTATATCCCCCTTTCATTTTCAAGAAATGATTTTTCCACTTGTCATAGGTCTCAACCTTCCAGGTGGGACTATGAATAGAGACAATTTCGGGACATACGCGCGAACAACAAATGTGCGCATGCGCGTATTTCTATGCCTTAGCTCTGTGACTGACACTGTTTTGTTCGTGTGTATGGCGTGGGAGACCCTCTGACGGGTGTGGGGTGCCTACCGGGGATTTCGAGCAACAGGCAGCTGCTAGACGCGGACACGTGGTGTCTGTATCGTGGACGTCACGGTGGGATGGGTAGCCCCTTTGGTTCGTGTTGCCGACAGTCTGTGATGGTATCTCACCTCTGCATCGCCCCCGCAACCCTGATCTACGGTGGTATGAGGTTACAGGCAAGTCAACTTGAGTGACTTCAGCCCTGCTAGACACGAACATCGTGTCACCAGACTTGCCGTTCTCACCTAAACCCCGGACTATGTCTCTCAATGTTCCATTATTTTTGGTTTTCTGTGTGCGTGTTGTGTTACAACTCCTGTAAACCCAGGGTATGTTGATGATTGATTGATTGAGTTCAGGACCCGCCCACTAGTATTTACCCGCAATCGCTAGCCGGTTACGAGTCTATGCTTGAAGCAACAGTACACTGACGTAATTATACGCAGTGCTAAAGAGTACCGAGTACCAGAGTCCAGTTGTCCATGATTCGTTGCTCTGCTGAAAACCGTTCTTTTTTCACTGCCGCGCAAGTACGTCCGAGAAATCGGGACAAGCAAGGTGATTGGCGGGACAAGGCTGGGTACTGTCCCGCCTAATTCGGGACAGTTGCATTATGTGTACAGGTCGAAAAGCTCATAGCTACATTGTATGAAAACCTACGTAACAATCTGGAACAAGTAATACAAGCAGCGTTTCCTGGATATAAGTGGCTTTCATCAGAGCAGAAATTCGTGTACTTACTACAATCTGATAATAAGAACATAAATGATGCAGTGGCGCATTTTATTCATACCGCTTTTTTATTACATTGTACATAGCTTGACTAATAGCCTCCCTGGCTCCTCTTTGTCATAAAAATTATTATATTATTGTTTCAGCACACATTAGGGGCATTATGTGTGATAACCGCACAAATAACTTCAATATAGCGCACTGACTTTGATGTCAAACTAGTACCGTACACAGCAAGGTCCATAGAGTGATAAAGTAACACACCTTGATCAACATAACACTATATAGTTGATTGTGTGAACTCAACAATGAGACTGTATGTTAAGCGAAGTATGTTTAAAATCAACACATTCATGAAAAGCACTAAAGTGAAAACCCTCGGCGAAATGCGCATGCGCGTTACCACTAATTGACGGACTGGGCGGTATCTGCAGCTAGTAGCTCGCGGAGAGTCTGGCACGGGCTATATAGCTACAGTAGTAGATAGCATGCGGGAGTCGATACATTCGTTGTGACTTCTAGTGCTTTCAAGATACACAGAGCAAGCGGACGCTGTCTAGGTAAGCCTGTGCTAATTTACAACTTGGCTTGTTGACTAATTGCTTTTCACGTCATAACTTTTGAACGCAGTATATAGTTATACGAAAATCACCTTTTTAAAAATGAAGCCAGTGTAGCGATGAACCCGCTGTTTTGTTGTCTCGTTGCGCGTAGTCGTGGTAACAGACAGACAGACGGACACACCTATAACCCTCGCTGGGCATGCGCGCCGAGGGTTAATGACACACTGTGTGCACAGGTCGAAAACACACACATTGTTTCAACACGCATTAGCCTTGGGGCATTATGTGTGATAACTGATAAAAGCACTAAAGTGCAAACCCTCGGCGAACTGCGCATGCTACATAGATACTTCTAATTGATGGGCTTCGCTACTTGTATATACTCCCGCCAGTATATACCTCGCGGAGAGTCTGACACGGGCTAGCTACAGTAGCAGATATCTTACGGGAGTCCATACATACCATTCGTTGTGACTTCCTGAGCCCCCAAGGTATATACACAGAAGGAGCGGATCAGGTCGAGGTAAGCCCAGCGCGATTCGCTTGTTTTCACGGCATAATTATCTCTCACAGTGTGATAATGATTAAGTGAAAATTGTCTATAGAGTTTATACATTATACTAGGAATGCACACGCGCATATTTTGCCGCGCGCCTGCCAGCCAATGCGTAAACAGTCCGATGAGGCCGCTCGTGCGCGCTCTACTGACTGCGCGCGAAGCCAGACTTCTGCGCGCACGGCGAAAGCTAGACTTCCTACGAATGACGGAAGTTACACTTCCTTTCGGTGACTAAGTGACATTCCTAAGCGTGACTAATTGACATTCCCTACGCGTGACTAATCGACATTCTTAAACGTGACCGACACGTACGCAACCCGCCTCACGCTAGGGCTACCAGCTTGTTTAGTACTAGTAGGCGAATGCATGGCATTTTAATCGTATGAGTCACTCTTGTGTGTGCACAAAACAGTGAGATACATTGCACAGGACCAAGTAGGCCGAAACGACCCGAGCGCAGTAGACAATTCGAGTCGAGTCAAAAACAGTCAGACGACAGCGCGAATCAGGCATAATCCGGCAATCTGATCGGTCTTCAGGAATAGGGAACAAGTGGCAATGTAGAAAAATCTCTCGCTGGACTGTGCAGCAATACTCGATAGCTTCGGAGGTGTTGCGTTTCCCCTGATTCCGCTCGATTCAGGCAGCATTATGAAAATGTTGAAATCCCTTTCGGATAAAAAGAAAGCGCGTAATGCTGGAGCATGCGCAGTTGGACGACGTACGGTGACATATATATATATAGAAAAATCGCGCCGTTCGGACCACTAGGTTAGCTCGCTTCCGCTCGCCAACTAGGAATGCGCACGCGCATATTTTGCCTCGCGCCTGCATGCCAGCCAATGCGTAAACAGTCCGACTGAGGCGGCTCGTGCGCGCGCTCTACTGACTGCGCGCGAAGCCGGACTTTACGAATCTGCGCGCACGGCGGAAGCTAGACTTCCTACGTCATCCTTTTAGTGACTAATTGACATTCCTAAGCGTGGCTAATTGACATTCCCTAAGCGTGACAAATTGACATTCTTTAAGCGTGACCGACACATACGTACGTACGTACGCATATCCTCTAACGCGCTCGGCAACAATATTCTACTGGAGGAGAAACTCTTCTTCTGTCAGTATGCCATCCTCTCGAAGCTGCTGGAGGCAACGGAGCTGTTCCTCATTCGAATGCCAACAACTTTGCTTGGTGAGCAGGTTTCATGATGGACCAGCTGGCTGTGGAGAAAAGGCTAGCTTGCTTTTTACTCTCTCTCTTTTCTCTCTCTCTTTTCGCAATGGTAGTGGCAGCACTTGAGAGGACTTCTGAAAGAAAGAGACTCCTTATGTGGTCGTTGGACAGAGCCGCTTATAAGGGAGACATTTGGAGGATGGTCCAGGTCCTCATGCGTGTTTGCAACGAACATGCTTGCCCAAAGTTTGGCGAGAGTATACTCATTTCCATGCCTCTTTTTCAGTTGCTGGAAACATCCTCCCAGTTCTTCCTCTCATTCATTTCTCTTACTCTCTTTCTTAGGCTTTTTTTTGAGGGACTGCCTCCTCATCTATAATGTCTTCTTCCTCATCTCTGCTGCCATCACACAACAGATATAAGCATGCCTTTCCTTCAAAGTACGAGTATATAATTATGGGGCCTCTAACTCCTGGCCAGTGACAAGCCACTTTTTAGTGTGTCGCTTTCCATCGAAGTAGCCAACGTTGAATTCTCCTTCGTCAGGCACAGCATCCCCAAATTCATGCCACAAAACTGACCTTAGGGCAGCAACAGACCGGAACCTTTTAGACACGTTATGCCTCTGCCGAACTGAAGTCTGGCACAAGAGGGAACCCCCAAAGAGACCTTCATTGGCTTCAACAACAAGCCCTTCCCACTCTACCCTCAGCCTCGCCTTACATCTGCGCTACTTTTGTGCATGCATGCATTACCTTGCGCAGAAAACACCTATATATATATATAGGATGATGGGGACTTTACAAACACTAAACCCTAGCTCTATAGCTCGGTTCTTTCCCGGTTGTTCTTAGGAAGGACTGCGTCTTCAAATCCAAAGAACTCTGTCGGATGATGGTGGATGTCTCTCTCTCTCTTTACAAAGGCTGTGAATGACGAGACACAGTGCCAATGAGTAGTCTGCGCCTGCCCATAACTGCTAGGTCCAGGGGTGCATCTGATGGGTTCAGATAGTGCACATTCATCTGTATGTGGAGTGGAGGAGTACACAGTTAGACTGACATACATGATACATGCTATGTAGAAGGTTTCGAATTTAGGTATATACCTACAACTAACACAGTTCACCTGGCAAGAGCCACACTCAGTGGCATAGACAATTGCATAATGAAAAGCACTGAAGTGCAAACCCTCGGCGCACTGTGACGCGCACGCGTAAGTAAACGCATGCGCCGTACCACTAATTGATGGACTGGGTTTAGTTTTAGCTGTTACTCGTGGTCTCTTGCCAGCTCGCGCAGAGTCTGATGCGGGCTAACTACACTACTAGATAGCATGCGAGAGGCGATACACGCCCTGCGTTGCATCTTCTGGTGCCTCCGAAGTACGCAGAGCACGCGGATCGATCAGACTGTGGTAAGCCATCCCGTCCGTTGTGTATTTGCATATTGGCTTTTTCGCGCTCTAGCTTTGCAACGGAGCAGTTTTAGAGAAAACCGTTCGAAATTTCTGACCTCCATTGCCCGTTCAGTAGGTGGTATCCTTTGTGAGACGAAAGAACACTCGAGAAGTGAGATGAAGAGTAACAGACAGACTGACAGACAGACAGACAGACAGACAGACCCAAGTACTGTAACCCTCGCTGCGCATGCGCGCCGGGGGTTAATGATGCAACAGTGGCAGCGCCTTCAGGGAAAAGTTGTGCATTCAGACGAATCAGTAGGCCTGCTTCGCTTGCAAGTCTCTGTATACAATATTAAACTCAAAATGGTCCCTGTCAGGTTTACATGACACACCTTTCTGGCAAGCAGCTTTATATTCTATAGTCTCTTACACTAGGTCCCAGTTTCTTCTTGATGTAGGAGAGTCTGGGGTCCACATCACTGGCAATAAACACGTGGTGGATGTCAGTACTGTCGGCCAAGTCTGACACGTCGGGCTATGTGCTCGTGAGTCTGGAGGCACATCTCCTGGGTGATGGTGGCACCTGTGATATCCTCCAGACACTGGTCTGACTCCATGAATGACTGCATGCCCACAACACGCTCACATGCCTTCTCCTGCAGGTACCTATATCATACTTGTACTTACAAGTATTTAACAGGTTTTACTGTTATCGAACCAACGAGCATAGTTACTTATGGAACGAGGTTTAATGAAAAGCACTGAAGCGCAAACCCTCGGCGTACTGTGACGCGCACGCGTAAGTAAACGCATGCGCCGTACTACTAATTGCTGGGCTGGGTTTAGTTTTAGCTGTTACCCGTGGTCTCTTGCCAGCTCGCGCAGAGTCTGACGCGGGCTAACTACACCACTAGATAGCATGCGAGAGGCGATACATGCCCTGCGTTGCATCTTCTGGTGCCTCCGAGGTACGCAGAGCACGCGGATCGACCATGCCGTAGTTAAAGCCGTTGTGTATTTGCATATTGGCTTTTTCGCGCTCTAGCTTTGCAACGGAGCGTTTTCAGCGAAAACCACACATATTTTCTGACCTTCATTGCCCGTTCAGTAGGTGGTATCCTTTGTGAGACGAATGAACACTCGAGAAGTGAGATGACGAGTAACAGACAGACACACAGACAGACAGACCCAATGAAAAGCACTGAAGTGCAAACCCTCGGCGCATTGTGACGCGCGCGCGTGAGTAAACGCATGCGCTGTATCACTAATCGATGGGCTGGGTAGTCGTGGTCTCTTGCCGCTCGCGCCTGACGCGGGCTAACTACACTACTAGATAGCATGCGGGAGGCGATACACGCCCTGCGTTGCATCTTCTGGTGCCTCCGAGGTATATACGCAGAGCACACGGATCGATCAGACCGCGGTAAGCCATCCCGTCCGTTGCCTATTTGCATATTGGCTTTTTCGCGCTCTAGCTCTGCAACGGAGCATTTTCAGAGAAAACCCCACATATTTTCTGACCTTCGTCGCCCGTTGGGTAGATGGTATCGTTTCTGGGACGAACAGACATTCGAGAGGTGAGATGTAGAGTAACAGACACACACACACACACACACACACACCCAACTACAGTACCCTCGCTGCGCATGCGCGCCGAGGGTAATGAAAAGCACTAAGGTGCAAACCCTCGGCACACTCTATAGAAATGTGGAACCCATACACAAGTGCGGCACCACCACAATTGATGGTCTTGACCATGCATCAAAAAGAACAGCATGATTGTTATGCCATGGATTATTTTCAATAGGTGGAAAAAATATATATAAGATTGAAAAATTGCCAACCTTACATCTAGCTATTAATTTTCGTATTACCCGTGGATTGTTTAGTGCAAAAACCCAAGGTTGAAAAAAAAACGCCCAGCCCTTCATCTCTCCAGACAGACGTCTACGGACGCAGTGCTATGCCGAACTATACGCTGCCCTTTGAGAAACGTGGGTCAGTGGTAGATTTGTGGGTAAGGGGGGGAACCAGAGCTGTTCCCAGCCAATGCTCTGGACCACCTGACATTTTAGTGCGGGATCGAGGTTTCGAACCGGGCACCTATGGTGTCAGTCCCCACGACTCTAACCACCTAGCCACTCGGGCTGGCCTTGAGAGGTGATGAAAAAACGTTCTAGTTATACCAACAGCCAACACTCCTATATATTACATCATTGTAAAAAAGGCGCGCACACACCCCGGGATAGAACCAGGGACCTCACGATCAAGAGAGGGGGTGCTTATCCATCAGACCTCCACCATTACTTGAATGGGAACAGTGTAAATTAAAAGTGCAAACCCTCGGCGAAGTAGCTCGCAGAGAGTCTGACACGGGCTAGCTACAGTAGTAGATAGCACGCGAGAGTCGATACACGCCATTCGTTGTGACTTCTTGTGCCTTCAAGATAGACAGAGCAAGCGGACCCGGTCGAACTTGTGCTAAATATAAGCGCATGCGCATTATCCGCCAGCGAATTAGCCGTACAATGCTGGAAGCGCTCTAGTTCTGCAACGGAGCATTTTCAGAGAAAACCCCACATATTTTCTGACTTTCGTCGCCCGTTGGGTAGATGGTATCGTTTCTGGGACGAACAGACGTTCGAGAGGTGAGATGTAGAGTAACAGACAGACAGACCCAACTACAGTACCCTCGCTGCGCATGCGCGCCGAGGGTTAACAACCAACAGCATAATTATTAGGCCAAAAAACTGGCACTTGTGTATGGAGAACTAATTGAGGAAAATTGCCTAATACAAACACAAAACTCTACAGAAAAATCAAGGACTGCTTGTCCACTTGTTCAAGAACATCAGGGCTTGTCTGATTAAAGGAGAGGGCTATCCAATGGTAGAAGAGTGCTTTTGGCCACATCTCATAAAAAGCAATAGCTGAGTGCTAGCTCGTGGGCTTCTGAGGTTAGTGTAAGAGCCAGTGAGGCTATTCTTCTGTAAGTATACCCACACAGGCCCTCCTAGCAACACGCCAGCTATACTGCCAGCTTCATTGAACCACACCTTCTCTCAGGCTATAAATTAAGCGTATGAACCTGCAAATCCTGTGCTCTCTGATAGACCTGTGAGCAGCTCCACTACCTGACAGTTTCCGCTTACCCACCGTACAGATACCAGCCCTTCTTACCCCCAAATACATTAACCCTTGAAACACTATATCACAGCAAATGTACCATAACTTTATGCCACTGTTAGTCTCACCCAGTCACATATAAATCTGAGATGGACCGCAATGTATGCTAGCACTATGGCCTCAATAACAATGTCTGCTACACTATAGCCACTTGCCAGTCTCACCCAGTCAGATCCGATCCGGAGGTGGACTGCAATGTACGGTTCCCCAGACATCTCTCTCTGAACGTAGTCCTCTGTCCACTCCCTGATGTGACTGTTCCACACCACGTATCTCTGGAGGTCTCTGTTGAACGTCTGGACAGGGAAAGATGCCGGGGCTCCTTTGAAGGTGAGGACTGGGTGCTGGGCTGGGGGAAACCTGCATCCAAACACACCGAGTTTCAGATTTACATGTAGACATGTTCAAGATAAGACGAAGAACAGCAGGTTATGAACATAATTAAGGGTTACCAGCTAAGAACAATGGAAAATGCTAACCATAAGATTTCTTGACATAAATATTAGTCTTAAAAGAAGAAACACGGAAACTCATTTTTTAGTGAATAAACAAACCAGCCAGGCATGCCCTTGACCTTTTCTTCCTTCTCCACCACTTCTTAAGGAAAACCGATCTGAACTTATTTATACTTACTTTTTATTCCATAGATCTCGAGTCCGTTCATTGTAGACATCGTGACCAAGACCGGTGAACTCTGACATGTCAAAGCTCACCCCAAGTTCATCCCAGAACGGACCAAACGGGTTTCCCTCCTTCATTAGACAGTCATTAACACCTCGGTCACGAGCCCTAGAGAAACATACAGCCAAACCTCTGATAAATAGACCCTCCGAGAAACCGACAACCACCCTATAGCAGAAACTATCCATGTTACTAATCAACGAAAATAGCATAGAGATGATGAACTTCCGAAATAGGGACAACCTACACAGAAAGGACAAAGGGCCCGTTTTAAACACGTCCTTTGTTTGGCAGTTCGACTGTAGCCATTAGTTCCTACAAAAGATTGTAGCTATGAGCCAAGTGTGGTTGAATAGGTAGTATTAAAGTAGGAGCCATCATACAATGTATTATACTTGAGTGCAGCAAATAAAGTGTAAACCTGTAGCAGTATCCGACTCTCTCTCCCTGCGGCCAGTGCCGAGGAGCTAGCTGGACCATGAACTCTTCCAGCGGGAGAGACTTGTGGTACCTCTGAACTGCCTCAATGTCAAACCACTCACCAAATGGAACATTGGCCTGTGTAAAACAGTGCAGTGTTACTCTCAAACTATCATCATTATTCTTACAAACACTGATTTACCTTACGTGCGTATGATCTCCATGGAGGCACTGCAAGAGTCCGATTCAGCTCTTTGGCAAATCGGAGAACTCCAAGGAAGTGAGCTGCTTGATTTCCAAAACGTCCTAGAGTGGCAGAAGTTTGGGGGATTGAGCAGAAGTAGTCCAATACATGTATTCTATAGGCTTCTTGTCAAACTGGTAGGCTTTTCTATGGTGCAGAAATGAGGGGTGTGGCGAGGAGTAAATTTACTACTCACCCATGCAAGGACAATAGAGAACGTAGCCATGATCATCCCACTCGTATCCATGGCCGGTCCCTGCCCACAGAGCCACCGACAGCAGCAAGATATCCAGCATCCAATTCGACATCGCGCTATACAAAAAAGGGGCGTATGCATAGAATATACCACGCATGCGCAAAACTTCGCGCGCGACCAGTGTCGGGGGTTACATAAGGCGGTATCGTAAGTTGTTACGCGGGGCTTCCATGAATGCTACCATGCTAAGGCAAACAGGGCATTTAGCCTCGATATCTTCATTTTATGGCCTAGTTTATGGATGCACTTGAAATTTTGCCGTGTTGGTGGAATCAGGGCAACGTATTGAGAGGAACAAGAAAAGTAAATACTTTTTGAATAAGCTGGTTGTCAATGTTACGCAGGCTGCGCGGGCTCTACGGCCCCTTGCATGTGCTGCTGGCATGCTGAGCACACTAGTCTACTCATAATTATTAGACTTGGACCGCAAAGAGAAAGGAGGTCAGCTTGGTGCACTTCCTGAACACAGTGCTATATAGTCTGGTTTAACATCTTCAACAATAAGGTGCCAACTCATCCTATACAGTATACAAAGCAGCTACAAAGTCCAGGCTAGTCAAAAGTATAATATGCATCAGAAAGTAGAAAAGTCTCCAGTTTGCCCTCCATTATCTTCATTTTTCTTGAACCATGGCCAAAAGGCAAGGTGCACAGTCTAATAAGGAAAAGAAAAGTGCAAAAAATAAGTAATTGGCAGAATTATTTCAGTTCCTGCATGTATGAACAAGCCAATATAGCACAGGCTTACCTCCACCGGGTCCGCTTGCTCTGTTTATCTTGAAGGCACAAGAAGTCACAACGAAGGGCGTGTATCTACTCCCGCATACTATCTACTGCTGTAGCTAGCCCGTGTCAGACTCCCCGCGAGCTACTAGCTGGAGACCACGAATAAACGCATACTAAATATGAAAAGCACTAAAGTGCAAACCCTCGGCGAACTGTGCTTTCGCGATACTGCTAATTGGTGGGCTGGGCTATTAGTAGTACGTGGTCTCCCGCTAGTAGCGAATGGAGAGTCTGACACGGGCTAGCTACGGTCATGCGGGAGTCGATACATGCCGTTCGTTGTGACTTCCTGAGCCTCCAGTGTACACAGAGCGAGCGGATGAGGTCGCCAATGCGATTATGCAATTGGCTTTTTCGCTTGTTTTCACGGCATATCTCTCGAACGCAGTCGTTTCAGGAAAAACACCCTTTTTTTCAGGGTCGCGTAGTTCTGAAGCCGCTGGTATCGCTAATTGCCCACCTCGTAGCCTGTAGTGCCAGAATAAGCTTCGACACACACACACACACAGACAAACCACCAACTACCGTAACCCTCGCTGCGCATGCGCACCGAGGGTTAATAATAGCCCAGCCCATCAATTAGCATGCGCAGTTCGCCGAGGGTTTGCAGTATAGCTCTTTTCATTATACATGGTGAGAATAGAAGGGATAAAGCAAATATAGATTTGTAGAAGTAGGCTCTAGCCTCAAACTACCCCTTCTCTGTGTATCGCGAACTGGAAAAATTGTATATACTTTCTGAGTTTCTGACTCAAATCATAAGCCCAGAGGAGTTTGTGCACACGTCATCGCTTGCATCACGTGCGCCTTAGAGACTTATGTTCGCCCACGCAACCCAGTCAACCCGCTGAGTCAGCACTTTCTGCAGAATGGCACACTGGCGTTTGCAAGTCTACGAGTGTTCTTTGTGGCACACACTTGGACATATAAACAGTCGAGAGATAGCAAGGTCTTGGCCCGCCTGAACACCAGCCAGAGCCACTTCCTTTCGCAGCTACGATACTTGATTACATTATAACTGCATGCGCGGACAGCTTAGGAATGTTGATTGTGCGTATTACAAACAAACACAACACACACCATACCCAGAATAGAGTAGTTATAAGCCCTCCGGCAAACATGAGCTTGAGACCGTTATCCACATCATCTAATTCATCAGGAACATCGACATCAGATGTGCTATCGATGTATATTCCGCCAAACACCATGCCATAACCCACAGCTGACAGGTACATGATAGAGAGCACGGCTGTCTGCAAGATTTTGTTAAGAAAATACTGTGCATTTGAATGCAAGTGGTAAAGAGGTCGTAAAAGAGCAAACCAATTGAACGAACCCTCCCATTCATTATATTTTACCGCATTTGTTAGCTACTGAAAAATTACAACCCGTAACGTGGTCATTGTTCAAGCAGCCCAAAAATAATTTCTCCTTTCTCAGGTCACTATATAGCTACCAATGCTTTCCTGTCTGGGAGGGTTTGCACTCTAGTGCTTCTCGATTGCCCAGTATTTTTAACCCTCAGCGCGCATGCGCAGCGAGGGTTACGGTAGTCGTTCTGTCTGTCTGTCTGTCGACGCTTATTCTTGCACTTAAGGCTACGAGACGGCCCATTAGCGATACCAGCGGATTCAGAACTACGGGAGCCTGAAAAATTATTAGGCGATTTTCCTGAAACGACTGCGTTCGAGAGCGACAAACTGGCACGGTCGCTGACCGCGTTGCATGGCCCAACCCATTAATAAGCGGTGCGCATGCGTATATTAGACGCGATCAACGCGGTATGCTGGCTCACTCTGTGTATATACCTTGGAGGCACAAGAAGCCACAGCGAAGGGCGTGTATCAACTCACCTACTACCATAGCTAGCCGGTGTTAGACTCTCTGCGAGCTACTAGCGGGAGACCGCGGGTAAATGATAATAGCCCAGCCCATCATTAGCATGCACAGTTCGTCGAGGGTTTGCACTTTAGTGCTTTTCATACTACAATGATTTTAGATATGGACCTCCATCTCCACCTCTTTTCTTTTAAAAGTCAGATGGTGCCATGCTACGCCATCACTGTGTGTTCAAGGTCCAGCCACAATAACATTCAAGATCTATACTTTAGTATCTTATGCACAACAGAGTTTAGAACGATTCCCAGCACTATTCACATTGGTAGAAAACCTAGGCTCAAGCTTTATAATAGGATACAATACTTCCAACAACAGAGCTGGGCAGTCCCCACAGCAACACATGAGCAATGGCCAGGATATGTACAAATGGACCAATCACACTGCCAGCCCAGTAGGCGTAAAGGTAAGATTCCTCCAAATCAAAATCTTCCAACCTGTGGAAGAGAATGATATATACAGCAAGTATGTACGGATAGCAGAATGTTGTTTTATTCAATTTCAATATGAATCAGATCCCACTTCTGGCAGTAACACGTACGCATGTGAATAATGTAGCAAGGAAAGCAAACAGGTCAACTACACGGCTGTCATGGGTGGGATTTGAACCCACGGCACTCAGTAGTCTAGGCAAACACTCTACCAACTGCGTTACCAGGGCAACTCAGCTGGTTGGGGTTCAAATCTAACATAATACAACGCAAGACAAAGGCAAACCTCAAACCACTGTGCTATGGCACAGTATACTCTCGCTCAGTATGTAGGTGCAGACCGCAGGGTAATTAAACAACCAAAGACTTCCAACTTCAAACTAGATATACGCATGTCAACAATGAGGTAGAAACATGAAAGCCAGTAAGCATGCAATTTTTCGACGTATGACATCCGCGGGATGAATTAGACTGCTCACTTCGCTCACTAAAAATGTAATTCTAGTTCCTGTGTATGAGCATTGGTCTGTGTGTGTTTCATAGGTTTTGAAGCCCTTTAAAAGCCCCGCATCTTTTCTCATTTTTTTCTTTCTGCGTTTGTGCACGCAGTTTAGTTCTTATCGCTGAATCGACTCTAAAGCAATCTCATTGTTAGGATATTGTTCATACCATTTTCTGTATAGTCCAAAACCAGCAGTAAACACAATCCAACCAATGAATGAGATTCCAATAAATGCCAGTGACACCTGCAGAGATAAACCACTATAATTATATAAAACATTTCTGAACATTATCTTGAAGCCTCCAAATGTGACTGCTATGTAGCTGGCTGTGCAAGTGTAGCTAGTATTCATTAGATGTTCTTCTGGCATCCCCCCCACCAGCTACACTTTTCTCAAATGGCACCACTAAAAGCCTGATGATTATCAGTAGCCTCTTAAAATCCATTCGTATCATTCCTCACCACCATTCTAGGGACTCTCCTAGTGCATTACTTATTGTTTATTTTGTTTTTTTGGGAGTGGAAGTACTTCTCAGGCTGCTGGGAGTCAAAATGGTATAAACCACCTCCGACAAAATACATTCTAGTATAATTATTATGGGAGAGTTTGTAGTGACAAAATTAAACTGGGGGAAGCTGTGTCTCTGGCAATAGATGGATGTGTGCTGGAACAATCACAATGACCCTCACTAAGATTGCAGCGTCAAGTCTAGGACACAGTAGCATTGTTATAATTAAGCTGTTGGGAGTCACAATGGTATAAACCACCTCGACAAAATACATTCTAATAATTATGGGAGAGTTTAAAGACAACTCGCATCTGTCTTGTTAAAAGAGCAAGGAGTGTTGTCCCACAATTGACCTTTCACGTACCAGGGAGATGTTGGCCATCTAAAAAGGGTCTGAAAAAGCAATCAGTAGCTATTGGGCTACATCTATTGTGACCATAATTATGCCGACCTTGTCTATTTGTACTTTGGCTAATTAATCTAGACAAAGATGTCCTTATAGCACTATCCACTCTAGAACTAACACCAACAACAATGAAAAGCACTAAAGTGCAAACCCTCGGCGAACTGCGCATGTGCGGTACCCCTAAAATTGATGGGCTGGGCTGTATGCGTTTACTCGTGGTCTCCCGTGAGTAGCTCGCAGAGAGTCTGACACGGGCTATCTACAGTAGTAGATAGCACGCGAGAGTGGACACACGCCATTCGTTGTGACTTCTTGTGCCTTCAAGATAGACAGAGCAAGCGGACTCGGTAGAGGTAAGCCTGTGTAAAATAAGCGCATGCGCATTATCCGCCAGCGATAAAATGGCGACTACCGGCATTAGCCATACAATGCTGGAAGCACTCTAGCTTTGCAACGGAGCATTTTCAGAGAAACCCCCACAAATTTTCTGACCTTCATCGCCCGTTGGGTAGATGGTATCCTTTGTGAGACGAAAGAACACTCGAGAAGTGAGATGAAGAGTAACAGACACACAGACAGACACACAGACAGACAGACCCAACTACTGTAACCCTCGCTGCGCATGCGCGCCGAGGGTTAATAACTCTCCTTATCCGTTAAATCTAGTTAGAAAATGGCATGTTAAGAATGCTTTGATGTTGAATGTGTAATCATGTTTTTTATCCACTAAGACGCCCCATTTTAGTATATAGTCCACTCCACTAACACACCTGCTACTAAGACACCCTGTGGTCACGCTATGACCAAGTATGCCAATTAGTCTAAGTAGTCCCACGCACAGTTGCCACCGAGATAGGCAGACAGATGTTTTACAATGCTATATATACAACCAGGTGAAGCTGCAACTGCTGACCACCGAAATCCTCCCCGGTCATCGGAGGATGCGGAAATGGTGATCATTAGCCGTGTAGCTACCTAAAAAAACTCGTGCAAATATGTCTTGGTCGACCGGGAGGGCCAAAACGGCTCGATGACTGCTACAGTGACGGCTTGGAGTCAGCAGTTCCCGCTTTATACTGTTGCAACGCTTGTATATAGCAGTAGCTCGTCGACTTGGCTTTCCAGATCAGGATCAGCTCTTCCCATCCAAGCCTAAACCATGCCTAAACTCACTCCCGCTCGTCATTTTCTAAACTAGTGGAAATGTTGAACATTGTTGGCGAGCGGGAGCGATCCAACTTGGGATTTGCCCGCGATGTTCGGGCTGCATAATGTGCCGTCAGCGGCACAGCTTTCTTTTCGTGAAGCAAGACAGATCTAGCAACCTGTCGCCGTTACATGCGTATTGCACATTGGCAGAACGGTGAGCATGTGAGCAGAACGGTACTTACCTTATCTTTCAGCTCGCCAGTAATGGTCCACCAGGCAGCTGGCATGCAGCAGTATCTGCATGAGCAATCCTAGCTTATTAGCAAGTTGCACTTTCGAACCATGAAGATTGGGGAGAGGTATATACAGCCTCGGTCAATTATTGTGATACCCTAGGAACGAAAAAGGTTCTAAAAAGAAACCACATGCTTAAATAGAGACTATACATGGGCTCTCTGAGCATGTTCGGGAAGGAGAGGGTCGGTCCCTGCGATTTACTTGAGGTTGCTTCCCAGTTTGGTGTTATAACAACTGTAGAAAGTGTAAGCATCCCTAGGAGAGGGTGGGTTCCTGTAATTTATTAGAGGTGGCTTCCCTATTAAATGCTCTGCTAAATCTCAGACTTCACGGAGCTCAAAGAGTAGGGAAATGCAGTCTTTACTTAGCCACAAGGTGTTAGGGGGACTGTAACTGCATAACAAAGTCGAGGTAGCACACTGTTAGAGGTGAATGTCTGTGTTCTGTGTAACACTGACAGTTGTGTTGCAGTAGTGAGTGGTAGACTGGCAGTTAGCTCAGACACTATTGTGATCCTCCACCCTCGAGGAATGCACTCTGCAGTCAGTAGCTACTGCAGCTGGATACTACGGATTTGAAGCTACACAATACTCACCTAAACATCAGTGCACCTAAATTTTGGCTGCAGTATATCAGCACCCTTCCTACATGCACCTTCACATAGTACTCTGAACAAGGCGGTTACTATTAGGCCACTCCAAGTTGCATTCTGCATGGTCAGAGTCTTTTCAAGTCGAGATGCGTGCGGGTGGGTTTACTCATTAACCCTCGGCGCGCATGCGCAGCGAGGGTTACGGTAGTTGGGTTTGTCTGTCTGTCTGTCTGTCTGTCTGTGTGTCTGTTACTCGTCATCTCACTTCTCGAGTGTTCGTTCGTCTCACAAAGGATACCACCTACTGAACGGGCAATGAAGGTCAGAAAATATGTGGGGTTTTCGCTGAAAACGCTCCGTTGCAGAGCTAGAGCGCGAAAAAGCCAATATGCAAATACACAACGGCTTACTACGGCATGATCGATCCGCGTGCTCTGCGTACCTCGGAGGCACCAGAAGATGCAACGCATGGCGTGTATCGCCTCTCGCATGCTATCTAGTAGTGTAGTTAGCCCGCGTCAGACTCTGCGCGAGCTGGCAAGAGACCACGGGTAACAGCTAAAACTAAACCCAGCCCAGCAATTAGTAGTACGGCGCATGCGTTTACTTACGCGTGCGCGTCACAGAACGCCGAGTGTTTGCACTTCAGTGCTTTTCATTATGTCATTAGTACACTTAGTTGGCGAGCGGGAGCGAGCTAACGTAGTGGTAAGAACGGCGCGGATTTTCTATACATATATTTATTTATCTACGTCGTCCACACGTTTCTTTTTATCCGAAAAACATTTCAAATTTTTACACCGTATATTTCTCGTGTATTGGAAGCCAACCACTTTCTGCGATGGATCGGTCTAGAGAAGATGCCCTTCGTCGTCGACGAGAAAGGGAAAGAGAACGTCGTGCCAGTGAGACTTCTGAGCAAAGAGAGGCTCGTCTTTCTCGACGGCGACTGCGTGATAGGGAACGGGCAAGGCAACGCCTGGCCACGGAAACAGCGGAAGAAAGGGAGGCACGACTAGCGAGAAGTCGTGTACGAGCAAGAGCTACACGTGCTGCGGAATCAGAGGAAACGCAACAGGCCAGGCTCCAACAGATCCGAAGTTATAAGACAAGGCGAATTGCCGTCAAGACAGTCATTCATTGTGTGCTCGCTCCCGCCCGCCAAGAATGCCATGCATTCGCCTACTAGTAATATGACCACAAACATTCATAGTGGGAAGACAGTCAAAACTGGACAAGTGCAAACCATTAGTATGCACAAGCACAGCACGCGTAGTGAATAATGACCAAAATTGTGTTCTCTTGAAATGGGGTGCGGGCAGCGGACCAGAAACCGGTATACAACTTGGAGTGGCCTTATATAGGCTCCTCTTTTCTTACAACTTCATAATATTATTATTATCGGGTTTTCCCCTGGGAAGCTCTCTACCTCTGCAGGTCTTTAAAGGGTGTCATCTTCTGTCTAAGGGGCATAGCCAGGAATATTGACCTGTCAGAAGAAGGACATCACTGTACTCAGCTTATCAGGGGCCTTAGCAGGTGGGGCTCTGAAGTGTTTTTCCCAGCCCTTATCACTTTACACATCCTGTGCTCTTATCACCACTGCTGACATATATAGCTATTGTAAAACCTACTCTATACTATAATTTGGGTTGGTCTTTTATTGGTGCATACAATCTCTATGTTCTGCACTTGTCAGACCTGGACCCTACAAGCTTCTACTACACAGGTAGCCGATACCCCTGACGTTGCAATTTTGACGCACTTTTGCGCGTGCCTCTCGCGCGTGGCATGCGCATGCGCAAGTGAGACGTATAAGTCCAACATCAAAAGGATATAATTATAATGTAGCCAGCAATCTGGGAGAGGGTGAGCTGTTCCTGGGAGGATACCCTGCTGTCCCTAAGCACCTGGCAGTTGGGCTCTGAAGTGTTTCCTAGCCCCTATCACATCATGCATCTGCACTATTATCACCATGCTGACAAGCATTATGTAAGGCTATATGTAAGCTTACTCCTGCCCTGTCTACTCCTCTGTATCCAATAATTTGCTTCCCATTCTTCAGTCTGAATCTTGCGTTACTTTCATTTATGTTCAAGGTGCTGACTACAACTGCACTTGTCAAGCACCTGGACCCTACATCTTCTTCTATAAACCCCATTTCTACTGTTGTAGCCTCCACCTTCAGCCGGACTAGATCTCTTCACAGAGTGAACTCTCCTGCACAACGAATGACATGCATTGCATATATCCTTTGGGGCCAATTGCTGTAGGATGATTTTAGACTACTTGTGCATGCACCCACTATGCGTGAGAGGCGGCGCACCAGGGCAAGAGCGTGGGGATCGCAAATTAAGTCACTACGCTTTTATGCGTTGAAGCAGCCTCTTCCACCAATATCTTTGCAGGCGCGAAAAGGGTGGGGCTGAGCATGTGCTAAAAGTAAGTGGAAAAATCATTTCTTCTTCAAAATGAAGGGGTATGTAGGGATGGCGTAAATTACGAAAAAGGATACCAACGAGAGATGCTTACAGCCGAAAACAAAAATCTTACATCCATCCCTACATCTTTATTTACTCATAACAACCTACTATATATACTCTGTTTTAGAATACGGATTCTCATATCCCGTCCATTACCATAGAAAAATAGAGCAATTTTGGTTTTGCAAGCCTATTGCGATTTTGCCCATCTGTAATTAATCATTCCATATACAACCTTGGACTGGAGTTTTGTAACTCTTCATTCTCCACCTGGCGCTGTAAACAGCTAGGCTAAGCCTAGCTTGATCATAGCTAGCTAAACAAACTGCATTGTCACTATCTGGGTCACACTATACATTAGTATACACAGTATACAACACCTCACATCCCAATATTATTTGGATGAACCTAGGGTGTGATATAACTGGGACCCACTGTACCCTTGGAATCACCCAAACACAAGTACAAAGCACAACTGTATTGTTATGCTGTGCCTCACATTAATGGAACTTTGTTCAATTTGCTTATATATAGCTACACATGGCTACAGGAAGAATTTGTGAGCTTGCAGTGAGTAAAGTAAGTTCATCCAGAGATCATGACTCAGGCAATGTGCGGCGTAGCTAGCTGACCAGGGTTTCAAAGTGTGCTTTGTTCTAGAGGCGAAATTCAGAAGTTTCGTACAAGTTAAAGTACGCGAAAGACAGACTCATAGTGCACGCATAAACAAAACAGATATGACGTGACAACCGTTAGCAAGTTGCAATAGTATGATTATGTAGTTGATCACACCTAGATGAAGTGAACACACTAGATCTTTTTTATTGGATATATCATACATACCTTTCTTGCAAATCCTTCAGCAATCCTCATAGCTGTTAATATTCTGCTAGGATAGAGAATTTTGGTGCATGATGCAAAAAAACAGCTAGCTATATACAGCGCTTTAGAGCTGATGAGGCATAGCTATATAGAGTAAGCCACCGATAATCGGACGGCATGTATTCTCGGACGCATTTGTGAAGTCTGTGCAGGACTAGATTGGCCACTGTGTATACCAAAGTGTAGTTCTTGGTCATAAACTGTTGTATAAAAATATTCGCTCTTATCCGAGCTTTACCGTGGGAATGACGTTGCCGTAAAGTTACGATTCGGGCACAGCCAAGTTCGGACAAGGCCATCAAAGGTAGGACAGTTCCCAAAACGGGAACAGTATGAATGATCCAAGCGACTGTATGCTCGATTGATAGCTGTACCTTTTGGCTATGCAGCGACCCACAAATGGCCCTTCTTTGTCTTCGCTATTTTTGCTCACGAAAGCGCAAATAGGCGGGGTCGCGTAAGCCGCGTTTTACGCGAAAAGCAGTTTTCGGCATGTTTCTTCTAACACACGCGCCGGATGAAGCTATAAAATTTTGTCCTCGTTCTTCTTGCCTTATATTAGATGCCTGCACCACGATTTACGTTTTTGTGAGATCTAACTTTTATTGGTAATTACAAAAAAATAATTATTGGTAATTACAAAAAATTTAAATCTTACAACAACGGAAATCGTGGTGCAGGCATCTAATATAAGGCAAGAAGAACGAGGACAAAATTTATAGCTTCATCCGGCGCGTGTGTTAGAAGAAACAAGCCGAAAACTGCTTTTCGCGTAAAACGCGGCTTACGCGACCCCGCCTATTTGCGCTTTCGTGAGCAAAAATAGCGAAGACAAAAAAGGGCCATTTGTGGGTCGCTGCATAGCCAAAAGGTACAGCTATCAATCGAGCATACAGTAGCTTGGATCATTCATACTGTTCCCGTTTTGGGAGACTGTCCTACCTTTGATGGCCTTGTCCGAACTTGGCTGTGCCCGAATCGTAACTTTACGGCAACGTCATTCCCACGGTAAAGCTCGGATAAGAGCGAATATTTTTATAGAACAGTTTATGACCAAGAACTACACTTTGGTATACACAGTGGCCAACCTAGTCCTGCACAGACTTCACAAATGCGCCCGAGAATACATGCCGTCCGATTATCGGTGGCTTACTCTATTCCTGGCAAGATTGCAACCCTGCCCTGACGCGACTCCGTGGCGCGTGTATTTCGAACTAGCTATAGTGGACAACTTTCTCCGCTACACTTACCCCAAGACGTTGCCTACGATAGAGGCTGGTTGCTATATCTGCGGTATTTTGGGTAGCTAGCTACTTCTGATAGCTAACGATTGAATTTCCACCACGCGCAGCTATAGTCTTCTTTTTCTTATCCCTCACCTTATTCTGCACTGTTTACAAAAGAAAGTACACTCTGCTCTCTCTCTCTTTCTCTTCTGTTGACAAGGATGTACTTTCTAGTCTCGCAAGCGTGAGGGTCTTGTTTGTGAGACTACGCACTTTCTTGTGTGGTCATCGACAGCAATTATAGCCACCGCGACGCGCTTCAACGCTCTTATAATACCGGAAACTAGGCTAAAAATCCAGGATGTGAGCTGTAAGAATTTTGTGAATAATCTGTATGATCTCAGTTTGTTTCCACCTTAATTACAGCATACAGAGCTCCCTATAGCAGAAGCTTTGTCCAAAACAAGGAATTTTACTGTCTTCAACAACAAGACTCCAACTCATTCTATACAATTAAAAGTAGAAAGCAGAGCTACAAAGTGTTACATAGCTAGTCAAAAGTACGTAAGAAATTGGAGAAGTCTCTAGTGGTCTCAGGCGAACTAAGGCACGGGTCCAAAAATTTTGCGCGCGCCGCGTTCTACGCGCGCGCCGACCTTATTATTATGACGTAATTTCCTCAAAACGCTAGCGGTTCACGGTTTGTGTCTCCACTGGCGGACCGACCACTGTCGATTCTGCGTTGCTAATCCGTCTTCACCGCGTAGTCTCGCTAGGGGCTGGCTATTATATTATTATACGCGAGACTATTGCCACCTCAACTCAAGACGCACGTACATTTTACAAGAGCGGCGTTGGCCTATAATAGCTAGGTCAACAATCTTGTTTACTGTGTTCCGTAGGTTCCTGTGGTGGTAGTGACGCTCCATTCGTGAGCCAAGACTCGTGGGCAGTCTCTGGAATTTAGTGCTTCCTGTATTGTGTTTGTGTAAACAGTATTATCAAGTGGTTTGTGGCTAGGAAGGATGTGACCGCAGCTTATATCCCTCACCTTATCTGCATGTTACAAAGAAAGCACTCTGCTCTCTCTCTCTCTCTCTGTTGGACAAGGATGTACTTTCTAGTCTCGCAGCGTGAGGGTCTTGTTTGCGAGACTACGCACTTTCTTGTGTGGTCATCGACAGCAATTATAGCCACCGCGACGCGCTTCAACGCTCTTATAATACCGGAAACTAGGCTAAAAATCCAGGATGTGAGCTGTAAGAATTTTGTGAATAATCTGTATGATCTCAGTTTGTTTCCACCTTAATTACAGCATACAGAGCTCCCTATAGCAGAAGCTTTGTCCAAAACAAGGAATTTTACTGTCTTCAACAACAAGACTCCAACTCATTCTATACAATTAAAAGTAGAAAGCAGAGCTACAAAGTGTTACATAGCTAGTCAAAAGTACGTCAGAAATTGGAGAAGTCTCTAGTGGTCCTTCCACCGTCTCCATATTTCTTGAACCATGGCCAAAAGGCAAGGTGCATAGCCTAATGATGAAAAGAAAATTGCATAATTTAGTTTCTGAACTCATAATAAATATTTTGAGATAGATGCTGTTTCCCGGCTCATTTATACATGGAGTGTATGTTATAATCAAAAAGACAACCAGGACCATCTTGTGTGCTGATGTCCATGCCATTTTTACTGGGTCTAGTCTATAAGTCATTTCTCAGAAACTGTTCTAACTAATGATACCTGTAAAATAAACACTAATGCACAACATACCAAGAATAAAGTAGTAATAAACCCTCCAGCAAACATGAGCTTGAAACCTTTATCATAATCTTTGAATTGATCAGTAACATCGACATCAGATGTGCTATTGATGTAGCTATATTCCACCAAACACCATGCCATAACCCAGAGCTGACAGGTACATGATAGAGAGCACGGCTGTCTGCAAGATTTTATGTTAAGAAAGTTCCATGTATTTTGCTTGCAAGCAGCAAGGAAGTCGCAAGGCAAAGCAAACACACAACACATCAAGAAAAACTCCCTTTTCTTAGGCACAAGAGTTGCCTGGGTCATATTAACAAACAGGCAATACTACATAGATCTGGTCCAATTTGTTTGATTTTCAAAGTGTGACCCAAGTTTTTACCTTTTCTGGGGGGCAACATGTGGCTGGGTACATGGGTGTGCAATCAATGCAGTTGGCCCAACAAGCAACAGCATTTA